CTACTTGCGGGCACCGCAGAGCCTGGGTTTACCTCTTACCAAGGGGCCTGGGACCCAAAAAGGGAACGCAGGGCCTGGTGCCGCCGCTACGGGCGCGCTCAGCGCCAGCGGTGACACCACGGCGCGGGGGTGCTTATCGGCCCTCGCGAGCCAATTCTCTGAGTCTGACTCCAGTCCTGGGGGCCTCCAGCCTATCCCCCCAGCGTCTGCTACTGAGTGAACGAAGATAGGAGAGGGAAGGAAGCTCGGAGCCCTGAGCCACTGCTGCTGTCCTCACTTCGCCCTGAGCCCGTACGCGAGCCCGCCCACGGGAGCCTTGCCTGGGAGCTTCTGGAGGCCCACCGCTCTGAGACACAACGTGATGAGCCTGTCCACCGTCACCCACGTGTAGCCGCCCTTCGTGTTCAACTCGAGTGGATGGAACTTCAGCTGATTGAGCTCTGTCTCTTGCGCTTCGTTGATCCCGACGGGCCAATGGCCCGCGAAGTTGAAGCCGAGCCTGGCCGTAGGTGCCACTCCCTGTTTCTGCTGCATCTCGCTCGCCCTGCACGTGGCGCGCCAATCTTCGAACTCCGCTGGTACTGAGGCGAGACGGGCGGCGTTGAGCCTGGTGAGCGCCGCGAAGATGCATCGTATTTCCTCGGGCTTGTTGTCCATGTGCCTGCCAAGCTGGTCATCAATGCTGCTCCTGCGTGAAGGTGCGGCGATCCGAACTCGTGTCCTGCCCCTGCTGCCTTGACGCTCTCCTCGTACTTGGTGGTGGACTCTTTGATTGCCAAAAACACAGGGTGGCCCGACGGGCCTTTGAAGTGCATGACGCTCGCCTCCCGCTCCCTCATCCGCGCCTCCATCTGCAGTAGTAGCTTCCGCTCCTGAGTGCCCGTGCCGCGCCCCGCGCCCTTGTTCTGCTTCTTGCGCTCTGGTGCCTGCCCCTGACCCACTTCCTGCGCCATCGCCGAGTCCAGCCACGCCGACATCGAGATGAATGATGTGCTGCTGAATCTGAGGTAGTACGTGAGTGCTGGCAAGATGCTGATCAAGCTGCTCTGGTGTTTGAGCGACAAACAAGCGCAACGGACACTGCGTAACAACGTGGGGTTGACGCCGAGGGGCTCGTACACTAAAATCAGAAATGCACCGTCTGTTCTGTATCGCCGCTGCCAGGTGCCACTGGGCTGTGGCTCGATGTGAGAAATTGCTCTGGCACAAGATACAATAATTCGACAACGTGGCAATGTGTGGGATCCTATCAGTGGCGCATATCTTCCTCAGAATTTCCTCAGTGTCCGCTCTTCCTTTGGCACGCACCCTCACGCAATGCGCCGCCATGCTCTTCTGATCCCTGAAGCTTTGCTCACAGATTGGGCAGAGGATGCCTGGCGCACCCCCTGTCTCTGGCGCGGGGGGACAGATGATTTCAGCAGGGCCCTGGCCTGGAGGAGGAACTGCGCGCGCTAGCTCCTTGGACCTAAGCTCTGAAACATCTATTCTGGAAAACGAGTCCCTGGCTTCCCCTTTAAACAGATTTTAAAAAACTGCCACCCAGCTCTGCGAGCAAATTTGGCCCCTCCGAGGTCCCCATCGAGTGCCTCTAAATCTTGCCAAAGCTGCTTTAGCCATGCATTGGCGGTGGGTAAAACAATCCCGTTTGCATCTACATCTAAATTCTGCTGCTCACATTCGGCTTGCCCCACTAATGCTGCGATTGCTTGCTCATGAGCTTGCTGATGTGCCACCATTTCTTGCAACCGTTTAAGTCGTCGCATGCGTAGCTCAGTGAACAGCGCCCCAAAGTGGAGGTGCCTCTGAACCTCGATGTTGGAGGGGGCCCGTGTGCGATCTATTTGTCTCTGAGTGTATCTTCCTCGAAGCACAGCCCTGGCGAACTTGAAAACGAGCTGTTGTAGAGGTGCAAGACTCTGCTCTGCGATGGGGGTACGCATGTTGAGCACGTAAGCCTCGAGGCCCGAGATGGCTGCATTGATGATCAGCCCCGCGAAGACAATCCCTTTGAACCTCATCGAGACCCGTGGAGCCGACCAAAACTTACCCATTTTGTGCCACGCCGGACGGAGAGCCTGCATTCGAAACTTCTTTTCAGCTGAGAACCCATTGTTGAAATGTTGACGCCCTCCTAGATAACGAGCCTCGGCTAAAGCCTGACCTTCGATCCGAACCCGCTTTTCATGAAACTTGCGATTGGGGAGACCTGCTTCTCTGCCTGCGCCCTGGACAATGTTGATTTGCTTCTCAACGTTCTGTGCTCCTCCTAAGTCCGATAATGCTGCATCAAGTATTTTGTTTTCCCACTGTGCGACTGCGGCCAAGTACTTCGCATTCGCGCCGATGATCTTACGCGCTACATCATCCACAAAAACTGATGTTGCAAGATCGGGCGGAGCACGGTGATGAGGCGCCTGAAGTTGATCGGGCATCTTCATGTGTAGTGCCCTCTGCCATGGATCCATTCATGTGATCAATCAAGTGCTGAATTCCCTTCGCGAATATCTTGGTGGCTGCGTGATCGCCTGGTAGTACACGCCTGTCTGATTTGCCATGTGTCCACTGTGTGCGCCGCCATCGATGATGAATGAGCTGTTGACAAGCCTCTGGTAGACCATGTCCACTCGTTCTGTTGAGACCAATTCGTCAGCTGCTTCTCCTGCTTTCAACTTGTGTACACAATAGAACGCATTGCCGGCATCGTGTAGTCGCGTGATGTGGTGACCCCCTGCTCGGCGAAGACGCGCAGAACCACACACCTGAACCATCATTGCATCTTCACGTCTGCGATGGGATATGCCACCATGTGCCCAATAAGGAAAGCGCGCCTTGGGATCCATGAGAGAGCGATAGTAAGATCGTCCAAGTCCACAGACAATCATGATAGGTCTTTCTCCCGCCGTGTTCTCCTTGTCATTGTGTTTCGGCATTCTGCGACACTGCGCCTGATGCCAAACTGCAGGTACTCGTCCCTCTTGACGTGCTGTGCGGCAGAGAAGATAAAGGCATTTCTCAAACATCGGTGCTTGCAATTCCGTAGTTGCTGCTGTGGAATCTTCTGCTCCTCCAGTTGGCGATGAGCTGCGCTCTCTCTGTTCAGCAGCAAGCGGGGCGGTGACGCCGCTGTCGTAGACGAGGTCCTCGAAGGGGTCGGCGAACTCCAGGTCTTCTGCCCCCCTTCGTGTTGGCGCCTCGGATCCCGTTCTGATGCGAGAAAGACCATCCGCTGACGTAACTGCGTGGTCTTCTCGCTGTGGTGCTGCATCGTCGCGTAGCAGATGTCCTCGCCGAAAGACAAGTGCTCCTGGTCCCGAAGTCGTAGCCGGCTGTGGATCTGGTTCGCGCTCTGGCGCAGGTGGGTCTGCTGCTGCTCGAAGTCCTGCTCTGTGCTGCTTTTTGTAGTACCAGTTGGGCATGGCGAGCACTCGTAAGAGGTCCCCCGATGTGCTCCAGCCAGGCGTCGACCTCCAAGACGGTAACTTTTTTATTGCCTTGCGAAGCTTTTCAACATCATGAAGTGCATGCTCATGCGCTGCCTGGTAGTCAATCATTTCGTCATCGTTGGCTCCCGTCCATTCAAGCAACGAAGGCTGGTGACCGTTGTCGCCAATGACGTTCTCGGAAAAAGGGTTGCCTCCAGAAGCCGACGGCGCGAAGTGGTGCAGCGCACCGACGCAGCACCCGCGCCTCAGCTCCTCCCTCTGGACCTTTCTTCTGAAACTTACTGATCCAGTCCATTGCTGAGGCTCGTGATGTCGGGACCTTGCTGTAGTGTCTTCCACGTGGCCCCCTGCAGGTGCCTGCTAATAGTCTGGCTAGCCGATGTGCATCGTAAAACTTTCTCTCGCGCCATGCTTCCCATAATGCTTCCACTCGATTCGCAAGCAACTCATCCATCATCACCTTCTTGCGATGTTTCAACTTTCTGCTGAGTTGAGCAATGCGGAGATTCAAATCTGCATGTTCACGCTCTTGCTCTTTGGCCAGTCGTCGGTGACGCAGTAGTTCACGAACCTCTCGGCATTGGTTGAAGCTGTCCTCTACCTTCTCGCTGTAGCCTGGCGTGTCCCTCAGCTGTGCTCGTGCCACTCCATCAATCCATTGCATCATTCCCGCATTGATCATATCAACGTTGCCCTCAAATTCCCATTGCTCAAATAACTCCATCTTTGCCTGTAGTTGTGCTTCGACTTGTTGTATGAATCGTTCTCGTTGATTTCCGCGCAACAGCATCGCGTTACACGCCTCTGCATTTGGCTTTCTTGGTCCGTGCTGCTGATGTACCCGTTCGTACGACTGCTAAAACGGAAAAAAAAACACTGGATAATGATCTTTTGGACCTGCACATCGAATGTGTTGAAGTGCTTTTCCTTTTCTCCATGCAACCATACACTCTTGAGTGTTTTGTAAGATCGCCCTCGGGACTATGATGAAAACAATCCTCTTGCGCACGTTGTCCGCGATCCCGTAGTAGGTGATGCCTGCCCCATAAAATGTGTTGGCCAGCACCATGTCATGTGCCCTCAATGTGGGACCCACAATGCCGTAATTGACCCCGTGCTTGTCCTCCTCACAGTCACCCGAAATGCGCGGCTCCATCTGATCTGCTCCGCATGTCGAGTTGAGATCGGTACCGATAATGGGCACACATCTTGACGGTAGTCTGTTCAGTTGCTCATGTAGCCATGTCGATAACTCTTGTGAAACTGTTATCTGATAAGCTGCTGCTCCTTTGCCTTTCCCTCGAATTGGAAAATAAGGAAAGAATGCTGCAACATCCTGTCTACCTCGTCGATATCTAAGCATGAGCCCACGTCCTTGCAATCGTCCTTTGGGTGCTGCCACCCGAATTACATACTGTGGCTTGTAGCGCTTTGCATGTAGACCAACAGTTACACCACAAGACCCATTACTGCTCGCACTGTGCCCAGCATGGTAATAAAAATGATTCGCCGTGCTACTTCTGGACACCTCGCCCCTATCTCTCATAGTCGTTCCTTGCAGCATCAGCGCGTCGAAGCCGTCGAACTGCTCGGAGATGTCCACCAATCTGCCTGGCGCCGCGGCGGTGAAAGGATTGTAAGACATTACTCGCACGAGTCTCCAACCGCCGCCGCTCCCTGCTCCGTGCACATCATCTGCTCACATGAGGAGTGTGCGAGGGTTCGGATAGTGAGTGTGGGGCTTCAGTCGCGCGGCGCACCTGTGGGCCGAGGTGCGAGTGGAGGGAAGAGGAGGAGGAGGAGGAGGGAGGAGGAGGAGGAGGAGGAGGAGGGAGGAGGAGGAGGAGGATGAGGAGAAAGATTTGGAGGAGGAGGAGGACCCGGTGGGACGCGGGGACCCTCAACCTCGTGGGCAAGGCGGAGGATGGCGAGCGCGCGTGGGCAAGGCGGAGGAGGGCGAGCGCGCGAGCGGCGTCCAGGCCTCACGCCCGGGCTCTGGAGCGAGGCCGAGTACTCGGTCGCCTCCTCGCCTGACGGCGGGGGGCGGGAGGGGGAGGGGAGGGGAGGAGGAGGGGGAGGGGAGGGGATGGGGAGGGGAGGGGAGGGGGGAGGGGAGATGGGGGAGGAGAGGAGGAGGGGAGGCGGAGAGGGGGGAGGGGAGGGGAGGGAGGGGAGGGGAGGGAGGGGAGTAGAGGTGGAGGGGAGGGGAGGAGAGGAAAGGGGGAGCAGAGGAATAAACAAACGCATAAGCACAAACTTTTGGCGTTTCGCGCGGATTTCTTGGCTCTGAGCTGGACCCCCCCCCCTTCCCTGGCGCGCGCGGAAAGCGCCAGGGGCGGCGCGGGAGTCGCCGCCGCGGGGGGGGGGCCCAGCGCGCGGAACCCTAGAAGTTTATGTTTATGGCGTCTTGTCTTATTTATTTTCTTTTTCTTCTTCTTCTTCTTCGAGAGAGAGGGTGATCATAATCATGCGGATCGTTATCACCTCCATCACCCCCCCACGCTGACCTTGGCACGCATACTTTGTGCCCTCGCAAGCTGCCCTGTGTTCCGCTTCTCTTGGCATGTCCTCGAATCCGCTGCCTGCCGAAATCCTGTTCGCGTGTTGCTCCTTTGCCCAAGTCGGATTTCACAATTTTGTATACCAGCCGCACGCTACGATCCCAGTTTATATAATTCTGCCTGAAGACGGGGAGGGTCGAAAAACAACAAACAATCTACACAAACATCAGCTTTCGGAGGTCCCTGCAGATTTCTTGGGACCGCGCTGGGCACCTCATGCCTGGTGCCGGAGGCGCCGCTGGGGGGTGTCCAATGCTGGCCCAAGCAATTCCGCGCTGACCCCCGAACACTCATGTCTGTGCCGCTGTCTGCTTGCTCGAACAGGGTGCGGCGGAGCAGATTGGGGGGAGGGTGAGGAGGAC